TTAGATACAGGAGTTAAAACAAACTTATTTTTCTCTATAAACCAACCAAAAAAGGTAGGACAACAAAATGGGACAGTGACAGTGAATCGTCTATGCACGTTTGATGGTAGTATGAAGAAGGAATTTTTTTTAAAACAATAGATCGGAACACCAATATCTTAATGAAATTCAAAAATAAAATAGTTTACAAAATTCATCAAAAACATTTCGAAACTCAATTTTAAAAAAATATTACTAGTAGATCTATATGCCTAGACCAGAAAAAAAAACCCACAAATTATAGCCTATGGTGTGTAGGTTAATTTTTTTTTGTTTACTAAACTGAGTTTTTTTTCAAATAATAATACATAAGCAGATGTTTGTGTTTTTGTTCAGGCTGAGTGCTGGATAAAAACAAAATATACACGTGAGACTCTTTTTACTAGATTAAAATTTTTAAAAATTTTACATTGTTAGGAAAAGTGACGGAAATATTTGATGTTTAAACGTCAAAGTACGTATCCGTGTTAGAAGGAGCGCATATAAAAAGATTCTCACGATTAAAACGCCGTTATCGGCTCAACAGCTTGAACCAGTGACTCACTTCGCTAGACCCCGTGAGCTCTTTGGCGTGGGGGGGGGGGGGGGGGAGATGGGGGGCAACACGCTGACCTCCGTTCTACACAGCTATCTGCACACATGTGGTGACGGAGTGCAACGGTTAGATGGGCTTGGGGCCTGGGCTGTTGCACGGTTGTAAACTGGTTGTCTGCTCTTGCTGGGAATTCATTTTTCAGTTTCAGCCAATCCCAAACAAACAAACAAAAAAAAATTAAAAAAAAAAGAATAATAAAAAAAATTCGCTATGTTTGTAAATTTTAAACGTTTTCGAGCAATTAAAAAAAAATAAAAAAATTCCAAGAATAAGCGTTAGCACTTAAGACTAGTAGACCTAGTACCAACTCGCCATCATTCAAAATTATCAACGCTTTAAAAAAAAATAATTTAAATAAATAAAAATAAAAGTAAACGGCACGAATCTGGTACCGGTGCTAGTAAGTTATGCTGCAACACGGCTCCGCGCTAAACAAAAAAAAAAATCCGTGCTAGCGGTATTTTAGCAGGAACAGGGCTACATGGACGGAAAGCCGTGCGCAAGTTCGACGGTGATCTAAAAATAGACCTCATTGCGGCAGGACAAGCTAGCTTCAGTGAATTCCATTGTGTGGAAGTGGCCCATGCCACTTTCTCTTTCTGGAGCCCACATGCAAGAGCAGAACTTTTTACTTATGGTGCACGATAACTGCGGTTACTATAGATAAGTAACACCATCGGTGCAAAGTTCAAGGTCGTGAGTGGGTTCAAAATGGCGCTATCATTGTGACTCACGGCGGTAGATTGTTGTTATTTACGTTTTCGTTTTGCTGGCATCTCTCTCGGTGAATTAAAACCAGTGCTATTTACCAGCAAACAACAAAAATAACGTAGATCAAAATAAGGGTTACTCGCACCAACCACACATGCAAGCTCTATAAATAGCCTGGAGAGGAGGCTTACACTAATACAAAAGAGATCTAGATCTATAATCTATATCTAAACATGATCTCATGCCCTCTTCATAAAAGCTGGTTATTAAAAAGCTATCAACTTAGACAGAGTTGAATAATTCCTTCTATTTGGTTTTATTCACGACTGTATCCAATTTTTTAAATAATATGCTAATTACCCGTGTTTTTTTAAAATAACATTTTCGACTAGAATCTCGATCTAAGAATCTACATTAAATTTAAAAACGAAATTTTTTAAACCCTTGAAAACATTAATTCAAGTGTGGTTCTGTTGTTAAAGATTCAGTTACAAAGTAGAAAAGAATATAGATCTAGATCTAGGCCTATCGCTTTTACAGGCCATAATGAATGTTACAAATTTCTATTTGGGTGCGATAAAAAAAAAATTCTATTCAAACCAAACCATGTAAAGAATACTAAAAAAAAAAGTAAATGAGTAACGCATTGAAGGCACAGGTGCAGGGGATTTTGTAATGTCAGCTCCCATTCTTGGCTGACTTTACATAAATAAGGATTAGTAACGGCTTGACTAGAAACCGAGAACCAAGGTATGCTCAATGGTTTGGCCTTAATGAATGGAGCCAGAATAGTAAACATTACCGGGGCTGAAGGTTGTTTTGATTTAGGTAGCAAGGGCGATACTCCCCTTCCCCCTCTACTGTACTGTATGGTAAACAGCGATAATAATATGTGCAGTATTTATAATATTAGAACAATTAAAAATTAATGAGTTTAAAACAACAATTGAAAATAATGATTATGGCAGGAAACAGATTAGTACCGGAAAATGCATATTCGATCTTCGCCGTTCATAAACTTTCTAACCAGACATCGTTCGGGGATTTTGTTTATACTGATAAATAGAGCTATGTTTTTACAAGCTTCGTTAGCAACATTTTTGTGGAATACGTTTTTTATGACATTTTGTGCCGCGGCGAAGGATGCGAAGTATGCAAATCTGGACGGAATGGATCTACTTGGAAAAGTACGTGTACTGCACTAATAAGGTAAGAAATACTATTTTGTAAAAATAACTATTATTTTTATGGATTTTTCATTAGAAATGATTGCTGTAAATTATGAAAGTAAAAAAAAGTATATTTGAATGTGTTTTTTACTTTAATTTGAACAAAGTGAATGGCCATAATTACGACACATCGGCGTCGTTGAAAGCGGGGATTTCAGTTAATTTTTTACGGATATAAAATTGTATTTTTTTCCTCCGAGGCATGTACTTAAATAACAGTTTAGTTAAATGTATTTAATTCTGTAAAATATAAGTATTATTTTGCCGTAGATACTTTAAAAAAATTTTTTTATGATTTTCTGTCGGGGAAAATCGATATTCGCACCATGCACGCACGCGTAGTAAAACTAGACTTATCTTTAAAACACGAGAATCTTGAGTACACTGCGAATAACAAAGTTTTTAAATTTTAGTTTACTTTTGACTTTAAGCCATTTGTTTTAAATCGAAATTAATTGATAATGTAATTATTTCAAAGTAAAAATTTTCCGTCTGATTGGGTTCTAATCTTCGCCCACTGAACCAGCTTACGCACGACATTCGCGCGAGTCTGTTTCTTCGCAATAGTCTGTATAGTGTCGAGGGCTAATTCTAAAAAGAATCGAGTCCTTACTAATCCAATGTTTATTAAAATTAGATACAATTGTTGGAACGCATGAGAAATAACAAATTAATATTTCTTTAAATCTATAGCCAAAAGAAAGTAGAACTTTATAACTCTGTAAATTATGAATCGAGTGACGACTGTCGTGAAAACGGGAGCCATTTTACTCTTTTTTTTTAGGGTGACCTACTTTATTATATAATTTTAAAATTCATCGATTTGATAAGCAGCTGAGTAGCTGACTACGCATGCGATATGGCTGGCACGTTTTGGGATAGGGATCGAGTACACCATAGAATTTTTTTTTTCTTAGAACTAAGCGTATTTTTTTTTAGATCAAAAGATACTTACATATCAGTTGTTGATTTCAATTTCATTATAGATCTAATCACTAACTTCAGTTTTTAAAAGTGATTTTGCATCTAGATCTAGCGTATTTTCAAAATTACGTAAATCTAGATCTATTTTTTAGATCTAGATCTAGATCTAGATCTACTTACTATTTGACAACCGTGTCAGTAAAATGAGGTCAGCGCTTCCAGATTCTTGGGTTTTAATTATGTTTGTCATTTTGATCTATTATAAGTAGCATTAAAACAACTGCATCTATTATCAACATTGTTTTTATATGCCAGTTCTAATTATACATTCTGTTCATTACCAATTCTAATGAAATCGTATCAGGCCCTAACACCCTGTTCACCTACACTCCTACACTGACACTACACTTGAAAGACGCCACAGAGAGTCGTAACTTTAAATTAATGTTTAAAGTACTAAACAATTATAATTAGCCATGTAAATGCTGCAACTATATTAAAAATTGGCATATAGACATATTTTATTAATTATGTTTTTTATATAGACCTTCTATATTTAACTCTGTTATTTTTTTCTTCCCCAGAGTGTTTCTAAAAGCCAGAATTTTAAAGGGGAGGGCGGTCGTTTTTTTTCTCAAGAATAATTATAGAAATAAGCTATAAACTGGTATATTTTGTAAAGTTTGACACATTTACAAATAAATGTATGCCTAAGTGACATTTCTGTGTAATTATATTGTTAATTTTGTGAATTTCGTGGATTTTTAGACCTCACTACATTTAGATGTAAAAAAAAATCTCAGTTGAGTGAGTGTGGTTAATCTACATTTTGAACGTGATGTAAATGTCTAGTGCTATTAATTTTTATATTTTTGAATTCCTCGATTGTTAAGCAACAAAATTGATATATAATATGTCAATAATTGTTACTTTGAAAATTGGCGAAAATCGACCCTAAAAGTAGATGCTTGAGGGTTGAATCTGTTTCCTGCCTTATCACATTATCATAAATTGTGCTAACATATGGTGTTTGGGAACTTAGCCATAAAGTCGACTGTTTAGCTGAATCAGGCATAACCCATACCCACCATCGCATAATTTGTAAGCTGTCGATATTTAATATCGATTACTTGTAAGTTGTGCCGATAGCAATGCTAGAAAACTTATGAATAAATAGGTTGGTGACCGCTACATGAGCCTTAGGAAAAATGAGGGCCGATACTAATCGAAACCTATGTATCGCAAACTTTTAGTTCAGTTGGAAAAAATAGAGCTAAAAGTAATAAAGTCTCTAAAGGTTATTTTATGATTGCAGTATTTAAATGATATATAGCCTATAGATCTAGATCTATATCATCTATGGATAGGCCTAGGTCTAAACATATTTTAATTTTAATAGATTCAAGAAAATCTTACAAGGTTTACAGATTACACTAAATAGCGTGCGTTTGCTTATAAAATATAGAAATCTACACTAGAAATAGAATACATAGCAAACTCACCTTTTTAAAGCCAAAAATAAGAAATCCGAAAGTAATGCTTGCTTGGTTATATCCACAACAACGACTGAAAACTACAAACAAAGCCTAAAGCTTGAATCCCCGTAGCGTTAGTCCTGCACGGGCGATCAACTGAATCACAGTGGTGCGAAAAATCTGTTTTCAAAATGAATTTTCAGGTGGTTCGTATGTTCACTAGAAACTTCCGTATAATCCTGATGTCTGGTTAATGTGTTCAACATTGCTTTTATTTGCCTTTAATCACAGAATATTTGGTCTAATTGATGGATGGAATTTTCTGTGTAAAGTGGAAAATAGCAAAATAAATTAACAGGCCTGCAACTTACTACAGATTCAATTCTTAGAATTCACGAGTAAATGGGTTGTCTTCCTTTATATTTCCTTACGTGATTAAAGAGTCTATAACTTAGGTCTATCGTTAATTCAGAAAAAAAAAATCAATACAAAGCCCACTCAAAGATGGGATTTAAATTTCAAAAGGCAACACAGCTGTAGATTAAGACTTAGATCTAGCGTCTAGTGTAAGTGAACTAATCTAAGTTTTAGATGTATATGATGTAACTACGTGCAAGAAAATCAATGAAAGTGTAGGTGGGGATGTAACAAATATTGAATGGTAGGGCAGGCGTACACATTGATCTACTCGGCTAAATTAAATATACCAATAGGCCTAGGCCTACTTAATATAATAAAATAGCATCCTACAATCTTCAGTTAGATCTAGAATCTAGATCTAGGTCGGAGTGGCTAAGACTAATGTTTATTTTGAAAGGACACTTAAGTTAAAGCCACTATCAACAGTATTAGTTTGGCAAATTGTGATAACACTACCGGTGACAAACTTGTTCATGTTATATGATCTAGGGCCTTATATCTATTGACTATTTATTCTAGATCTAAATCTAGATAAAACCTACATCCAGGTGACGACTCTAAATGATTAGTAATTAAATGTAGACTAGTAATTAACTGTGAACTCTGACCCTGTCTTTACTTATATAACTATCACGAAAGTAAGCAAAGTTCATTAGGAAGTAGATTCCAAAGTTAGAGCAAATTCTAGATCTAGATTAGACTAGACTAGATCTAGACTGTCACGTGTATAAGCTATAGGGCACTTTATATTCTAAATCCGGATTCCGTATTTCTACAGGAATTAGTTAGATCTAGATTCTAGATAATAATAGTGTAGGTCCCTAATCTGGATGAATATTTTGCTAATTAAGCCCTAATATAGAATAGATCTAGACTCTAGATCTACCTATTAATTTAATAATAAGATTCTATCGTGTAATACATAGATTTAGTAACGGAATAGCAGCTTAGTAAAGTACACTTTAGACTTAAGGTCTAGTCTAGATAGATCTAATCTAGATGTAGAATCTAGATCTAGAGATCTCTAGAATGATCTCGTCTATGTGTTCTTGCGTATGAAGTAAATAAAAACTTAGAAAATCAAGAGTCTGGAACACATTTAACAAATAATTCGAGATCTAGGCTCTAGATTTCTAGATCTAGATGGTCTAGAGCCTAGATCTCTAGTAAAAACAATCCAAATGCAGGGAAATTAGATTAACAATTGTGTTTGGTTGCCTTTTAGGACTTTTACTTTCAGGCTTTTAATTTGATGAAATAAAACACCTTATAAAACTGTCTCTAGATCTTAGTCTAGAATCTAGATTTAAGATTATATTTTATAACCAACAAACACACAAACAAATCAAAACTAAACCAGTCTACAAGATTTTAGATCAAGAAATCTAGATTTCTAGGATCTATAATCTAGATTTAGCATTAAACGACGTCAAATCACAATAACAGGCCGCAATAGTCTAGAATTCTAGATTTCTATTTTGTGGGCCTATTTTTTTTTTTTAAATCAAAGCAAAGGCAGCTCGATCTTCACTCTAGCTAGCTAGACTCTAGTCTAGTCAAGTAGTACACTACCTTGGAACAAAATATGAAATCCAGCTCTTTACAAAATCCAAGCACAAAAAATGAAATGTACACTGGGTTTTTAAGAAGAAATAACCAAGGCACTAAGTTAAATACAAAATAAAATGTATGGAAACCTTTATTCTAAAATAACAGTAGTCCAGCACCGCCATTCGCGCAGATGTAGCCTAACAAATGATTCTATGCTCCAGCGTCGGCTATGCTATCTACCCACCGTGAATGGAGTGGCGGATGCGGCGTAGGGATTTTCTTGCATACATTAAGCCTAGGCAGATGAATGAAACGCTCGCTAGGCCGTCTAAGTGGGTGACGTTTGCGGCAGAGCTTTGCGAAGGCTGAAGCTGTGTATTTTAAAGTAAAATGAAGTAATATATTTTAAACAAAAAGCAACAATAGAATAAAGAACCTGTTATTTCTAATATGTATACTGTCTAATGCTATTTTTGCATTTTTAAAACGATCGAAGCAAATCATGACTGTTGTTTGGAACTATTTTTTTCACCACCGCACAAAATGCCTACTTAGCATATTTCATATGAATGAGTATCACGTGACCTGACCGCATTAATAATGGCGTCGAATCCCGGTTACGAACGTAACTTATCGAGTGACCTTCTTGTGACCATTTTACTCCCCCCCCCCCCCCTACATCCCACCTCTTCAATCGTCTTTTCATTGATAATGTGTTTACAGTAAACAGTTAAAAAAAAGGGAAGAAAATGCGTTACAAAGTTAAATAAAACAGTAGCCAAATTCTTGATAGAAATGTGTGTATTATTTTTATTTTATTTTTGAATGTGTATCTTACATTAAGTTGTCCTTGCTAATATTATTTTAAAGCCAAGTTGATTTACTTTACGGTGCTGTTTTTGTGTGTGTTGTTTTGTTGTTGTGTCACTTGTGTTGTGTTCCCATTATTTCTAAGCATCTGTCGTGGGCACACTACACGCTTGACTAAGATACAGTGTTGTATTCATGACTGTGGGTTAGGATTCAGGTTAGCATTAGGTTCTTTATATAAATTATATATTAGAAATTTAAAAAAATAAGGCGTCAAATTGAACGTTACATTAATTTCACACCGAACCACTAATTAGTTGTAAATTATTTTGATGTGAAATAATTTAAAAAAGCCTTATCTGTTTCATTTGCTAAAAACCATTTTGTTATTGTTCATCTTAGGTAAAACAGGTAGGTCTAGCATTAGTGACGTCGTGATTTTCATGCAGTGATCTTTTCTAGATACTTTATGCGTAGTGGGTCATTCACATCTTGTCATTCACACCATGTCATGCGCAGGATATCATGCGCGAGACGGCATAGTGTTCAAGGTTTCATTGACGTGTAGGCCTAGTAGTGAAAGCTTGACACACTTCGCTGTTGTTGCTTTTAGTTTTAGACTTTTTTTATTACTATTTCCGTTTTTAATTTTAATTAAGGTTAGGGGGGGGGGGGGGGTAGGATGCAACTTTGTTATGCCATTCCGGAAGGTTGTTTGTTTTTTTTTAAAATTGGTTTAGGCCTACTTATTTATTTATTTCTAAAATTTCTATGTTTAATTAACAAAAATAAAAACACATTTGTGGTTTCAGTTAGAGGCTAAGCCTTTTTCTAGATTCGATATCTCGACGCCAGTATGGGCCTCTATGTTCTTAACCACAAAAATATTTCACTTTATCACCTGTAAGAGGCTACAACCGTTTATTTTATTGTGACTGTGTACATTTATATTAGCAACCCAAACATATAGGACATTAAACAATTATAATTAGAACAGAGGAAACTTTTATCACAGCTATTATCTAATTGTTATCTAGCGATGATATAGACCTAAGTCAGTTACCCAGACATAAATGGACAATAATATTTAAACACAGTATAGAATCTATATCTTGAACTTTTAGACAGAAAAAAGGAGTGTGTGTTTCCGATTTATAAAAAAAAACCCACACAAAAAGTAGATATAGGTACATTGTTTGAATATAAATATGTAATATAATGATATTTTAACAGAGTTTATACAAAAAACGTCTGTCTTTATTAGTCTAGTCACTATGGGTCAACATAACTACTGAAAGCTCTATTTCGCCAGGGTGACGCTAGCCGCTCTGGTAGGTCAAGGAAATGTCGTTTGTCTTAGATTGTCACCCACAAGGTCTCTACGTGGAACTTACTTAACACTCAGTAATGTTAGGAAAACACACATTTTTACACCACAAGATTATCCACATATGTGTGTGCCGCCGCCATCCCCAATTCGTAGGGAGAGGGGGGGGGGGCGTAATTTTGTGACGGTGTGTGATGAGGGGGAGAGGGGGGGGGGGGGGGGGGTTCAGATGGTGCGACGTCACACTTTTGCATTATAAAAAAAGCAATTTTAGAAAACGAATTTTAGACGATATTTCGCGTTTAGAAAACTGTTTTGATAAACTGTAATAGGAATTGATACTCTATTTTGACAGAGTTCAGACAAAATTTGGGGGTTTGTAGGCTGTGGTGTGACGTCACTTTAGGGGTAAAAAATCGTCAAAAAAAAAAGCGTGACATCATTTACGGATGACCCTTTACCCCCCCCCCCTTTTTTTTTTCACATTTAATTTAAATGTTTCCCTATTAACTTCATAATTTAAATGTAAACCAGAATCGCCCTATGTTGAAGTTATTTCAATTTAATAAAGTAAATAAAGCAACATGATAACTCAGAGGTCAGGTATAACTGTAATTAATTAGTGATACACAAAGCTCGTGTTCCACAAGCTTGAAGTAGTTAATAAAGTAGTTCTCATTTTCATTCATAGTCCGCCGTCCACCTCCACATCAAACTAAACAAAAAAAAAGTCCGGAAAGGGCCCACTTTGCTACGTCTTTCTATTTTTGTTTCCGGGACTATTTGTTTAAAAAAAAAAAAAAAAAACCTCCGCTAAAAATAGACGCACACAGCAGTAATTTTCCTGCGATCATTCATGGAGCACTGTGGGTTACTTTCGGTAGTGTTGGTTTAATGTTGTGTATGTGTGCGCCTTTTGTGCAAGGGGGGGGGGGATGTTTTTTTGTGTAGGGCAGGGGGTGGGGGTTAGGTGTTGCTGGAGTGAAACTGTTTCACTGTTTGTAGATCGCGGAATGACCAAATAGGCGATGTGTTTTTATGAAAAGTTCGAGGCGATAGAGAGGGTTCGAACTTTAAAAGTAGACCATAGTAGTGTTACAAGATTTGTGTTTGTGTTTGCTTAAGGCTTCAACCCTTCAAAGTCTGTATGGATTGTTGTTATAAACATACATATTTATAATCCTTTTTTTAAAAAATGTGTAGCTTTTTAAAAAAAATTGCATTGAAGATTAGGGACCTTGTATGTATAAACTAATCTTTCCGCGCTAATTCATACATTCTTTGAGTTCAATCGGTGCGCAGGCGTTTGTAGCAATTCGATTTAAAAAAAACAAACAACTAGAATGTATTTTTTAAAGTGGTATTGACCTCCCCTAAATTTTCCTGTGTAATGTTATATAAGAGTAAGTTATGGTATGGCATAGGCAGGTTTGTAAGATAACCACTCGTATTTCGATAAAACACCTACATGCTAAAATTTCTAAGAATACGCTGCTATAAAAAGGGGTTTAGAGGAATCGAAAGAAGAGTAAAGTACTTGAAATCGGTAACAATTTTATAGAAACCTACATATATGATATAATAGATCTACATACAATACGTATTCGACCACCTTAAACAGCACTTATCATGTTCAGACCGAAATAGAGTAAAATACCACTTCCAGTTATCGGAAACTGCTCTAAAGAAAAGTTTTCAAAGGCCCATATATACTATCTAATATCTATATATACAATGTCTTCCGCCAAACTGAAATGGTACTCATTATTTGCATTTAACATATACATTTAAAGATAATTATTTATAATTTTTTTTTGTGCGTTAAGGAACCCTTCAACTAGAGCTAGAAGTAGTAACGATAGCTAAGCTTCTAGGTCTTTGAGTTAACAACTTTGGGCATGCGATCCCTCTTAAGCATAACCATAATCAGAAGGATAGGCAAGATTTTTGCTGGGGTGGGGGGGGGGGGGTGTTTCCAAACGAATTCTCTAAACACACACACTCATATATATGTATATAAAAGACCTTTTTATTATTATCTCCATTTTTATTTTTAAATCCTTATTTTAATTAAGGTTGGGGAGATAATGTGTGTGTCTGTGTCTGTGTGTCTGTGTGTAACTGATAATAGCTCGCGTGTAAGAAATGGTTGTGGGATTTTCGTATCAGCTCTACACTGTTTAAAACCCTTACTATACCCCTCCCCCACCTTCCTCTTCTCCCCCCCCCCCCCAAACATAGACAATTACACCCACAACTTGCCTAATGGCCGTGGCGCGCGCTCCACCGTGTGAAACACGATCCCCGGGGACTGAACACATCCACCTACATGCTAGGGTAGCGCAACTTTTAGTTTGACAGTTGAAAAAAAAAATCCAGCAGGACCGGATGTACGGTAAAACTAAACCGTTTCCGGTTGGTATTAAGCTGCTTTCTTAACCAATTAGGAACTGTTTGCGGTTAGTGGAAATGGGGACTTTTTTTTTTAAACGTTTGTTTAAAAAATTTTGCGTTGAGATTTCATTAACGCAGGTCTATAAATAGAAACCGGATTAGTTTGTTAATTATTATATTTAGTTTTGAATTTTGTGATTGCTGAGATAGTGGAGGGGGGGGGGTGGATTTTCAGATGACAATATGTTTAACGTTTTTTTTTTTTTTAATTAAGGAGTTCTGGTATGCAGTTTTAAATCAGGTTTCTTTTCTTCTTCTTCTTCTGCGTTCTTTGTTGAATTTATGTTGGAGGATTTAAACAACAAGTCCAACTTCGTGGATGAACTGGACTGTGGTCTCCAGATGAGCAGGTGCCCCATATAGTTTTTCCTTGATTGGGTGTATAGGGGCCAGTGTATAGGGGCCAGTGTTTGGATCGCGCCTGGCTATATAAGGAAGAGTCCTGAAGGGCGTGCTCTGTATTCTCCGGGGCCAAGCTACAAGGGCAAGTTTCGCCATGAGCAACTTTTAGTTCTATAAACATGTGTTGTTTCAGTCTGTTGTTGCATGTTCTGACAGATTTTATCGAGCGCCCCAGTCAAAAATTTAAAATTGGAATTTAAAAATTGGAATATGGAACAATGCAAAATGTTTTTGTTTAGGGAAG